AGGAGGAGGAGGAGGAGGAGGAGGAGAGACAGGATTCTCAGATCCCTACCTCAGGCCCACCAGGGCTGCACACTCAGGGTTCTGGGTGCCCCTGTGCAGGGATGCAAGGGACCTGTGGGTGTGACAGAGGCCCCTGGAGGTCCCTGAAACCCCCTGCAATGACCCACATCCAGCCCAACTGCACCTCAGGCACCATGGAAGCCAGGACAGCCTTGTCCCAACGTCACCGAGGGGGAGGGCATCACCTGGTGGGTGTCCTGCAGGCCCCTGGGCTCACACAGTCGAGGCTGGTCCCTGGGGAAGGCCAGTCACAGATCGTGTCCTCCTTGGCTGTGCCTGCAGGAGACAGCAGTGGCTTCAGAATGCACGCTGAGGAGCTGAGACTCCAGGAAGAGGATCTCTACCTGTACAAGCCCAGCTGACCAGTCCTCCATGCTAGGCCCCTCGGAGATGGTGGCCCCGGTGCCAGGCCTGGCTGATGGTCGCAGGGTATCCCACAGATGAACAGCACAGAAGGAAGTGGAAGGGAGAGACGGGAGAAGACAGAGCCCCTGGTCCAGCCACACCTGAGGCTACTTTGGCGCTGTCCCCAGACCTTCCGGTATGTGTGTCCCCAAAGGATCCCGAGGCACGCCGGGCAGGAGCACAGTGAGGACACACAGTGCCCATCACGCCCGGGTTTGCCCTCCGCCTCTGCCATGTCCCGGCTGGCCGGGCAGTGATCACAGTGAGAAGTCACCATTTGGCACCAGAGTCAACAGCGCAAGGACAGCGTGACTGCCAGACTGTGTGACCTGTCCCCGCACTTAGAAAATGACCCACATGTCACCTTCGGCAGGCCAGGAAGGGGACCATGCTGCCTTCCAGGACTTTGTGCGCTGGGTGACAAGAGCTGGGCATGCGTCTGCGTCCTGGCCTGACTATTCCTGGCTCTGTACACATTGGGCCGCTGGCCTACCATCCCCAGGCCCCAAGTCCCTGATTTGTAGAATAGAGTGACATGTGACATTCCAGGAGGTGGCCAGTGGCAGCTCTTAGCAGGTGGCTTAGCTGCAAGAGGAATCAGGAGCAGAAGTCACTTCCCACTTTATTTGCTCTGGACAACTGGAATCCTGTGAGATCCGGGTCAGCAGAAGCCAGCCACAGGGCCCAGGCAAGCCACGAATCTGGTGAGTGGTACTTCCTGGATGAGAACCGCAGACGCCAGCTTAAAACCGCAGAGCAACATTGTAAAGGGTAGAAAATCCGGGCGTGGTGGTGCCTGCCTGTCATCCCAGCCCTTGGGCATGCTGAGGCAGGACTGCTGAGAGTTCAAGGCCAGCCTGGAGTACACAGTAGGACCCTGTCTCAAAAAGCTTGGCGGTCTAAGCACCTTCCTGGCAAGCACAAGCACCGCGGTTCAGTCCCTGGTACCGCATGCCGTGCCGGCCCCAGAACCGGGGCACACCAAGCAGGCCACCAAAACCGGGCGTGGTGTAACCTGCCTGTAACCCCAGAGCTGGGGAGGCTGAGACAGGAGGATCACTGCTAGTCCAAACTGCATAGTGAGACCCTATACCAAATAAATAAATGATTTTTTTAATGCTAAGGCCTAAATAAATAGGTAATAAAAATAAGTGAAATGCATGTTCAAAATGATGTGTTCTCAGATAATCAAGAAAAAAACAAAATAAAACAAAACAAAAAACTAAGGAGATGTCTTCCCCTGCTTCTGGCAGAGAGGTCTTTGAAGTCTAACGTGCCCGCTTCCAGCAGGGTATTCGAGCGCGGCCTCTGGCGCCACCGTGTGGCATAGGCCAGAACAGCGTTCAGACAGCCACACACATGAAGGCTGTTGCAGGCTCTGGCTG